TGATTCATGCCGTCTCCGTACTTTTATAAAATATAGGATTATAGCAGAAAGCTAGGATCATAGCAAGAACCTTGCGGAACTCTATTACTGTGACACCCTAACTTTCTTTCTGCGGCTTGTCTTTTTTTCGGGTTCTTAGCTTTTATAAAAAGGCCTTGCGTAAATTGCATAGTGCTGTAGTCAGTTCTTATCAGTTTGATATGGCAAAGACTGTAAAAATAGGGTATTCACCAGCTAGATAGTAAAATTTCGACTTTTCGCAATAAATCTATTTTCTACCTGAATGTTAAGCAAAGCGTCAACATAATCCTGACATCCCTTCATCCCATCCGTTCACCTCGCACTTATCTCCTTACAACCTTACGTACAACATATCCGGATGTGCACGTATACAACATCCGTGCAGTAGACATTGCTTTAGGATTTGTTGACGTTACCGTAACCGATTGAGAGAAGAATCCGCGCTACACAGCCGACGACGACACGATATTTCGATTTGAACAAACACGTTGTGTCGAACAAGAAGTGCACTTTCGTGCATTAACAAATACCTGTGCACGAGTTGTAGGAGGGATGAGAATTCTTCTCATCCAGCCGAGAAATGTATTTTGGTCGGTTGTTGGGGGAAATATTAGCTTAGCGGAAACGAAAAGAGTTAGGCTTACCTTTGGGTACGGAACCGTCGCTCAAGTTCGTAGGTTTGACCTTTGGTAAAAAGAACTCGTCTTTTTCGCTTTTTACGCTTTCCTTAAAAGGGACCATGGGCTACTAAAAGAACACTAATGGTCAAATAAGGTTCCTTACCATTTCCATCATATTCCTCCTCCCCATCCTCTTCCATTTCATCTGCCCCATCATCTTCATCCTCAGCTTTAGATCTAAAATGCACATTCTAAGCAAAACCTTCCAAAATTACCATAAAAAGCCCTCCAAACTTACCCATTCTTTTCATTCCCATCCGCATCCTTCTCCTCGGTGCTTGTGTTCCCCATTATCATAGGATCCGTCCGCTGGAATGGGTCAGCCGGAGGCAAGGCATACATGGAGCTGCCAGGTGTCAAGGTTCCAGCGTGAAAGTTTGTCGATGGATCATAGGTGTACATTGACGGCTCTATGGAGAACGATGGCGCAGTTGGGTAACCTGAAACTTGCAATATTGAAACAGACAAGTTTTTCTCAAAGGTGAGTAACTGGTTCTTATGCAGAATTATAATTCGAGGATCTAAAGCCTTGAAATCGACCACTAAAGTTCATCTCTATAGAAATGTGAAACCTAATTGGTTTGAATTTTTTTCGCAAACAAAAACCTCAACATACCTCTAGTAAATCCCAAATAAAAAAATCTAGGGTCACTTAGATGGTGGCTCAGTTCTTAAAAAATATAAATTCTGTCCAAAGTTTTGGATTTCTAGAATATATTTCATATTCCAAGAAATAATGGCTAAGCTTTACGATAAGAAAGCAATGTCTAGGTCATGATTGAGTCACCTGCATTA